GGTTAAAATGGGGTAACAGAGGGAAAGTTCTTCCTAAGCTTGGAGAAGGCTGTAAGCCAGGCTGCAAACACAAAGAGGAAGGAAGATGGAGGCTTCAGAGCCCACTGGTGGTCTTAGTTGGGCGGGTACAAGCCACACATGGCACAGCTGATAAACTGCAGCAACTGTCACAATTATGCTTCTCACCAAGGCTGCTTCTCTCCAGCTGGGAGCCTCCAGCCCCTCAGCCACAATTCATGTGACTATCCTCCAAAAGCCTGCCCGGCAAAGCACAGCACTAGAACCAAGCCTAAGTCTTCTGTTGTTTGTGTAGTTCAGCAAAAGTTAGCACTGTCACCTCCCTGGCTTGAGGAGTTAGACCTCTAGTAATGCAACCCAAGAATACCTGCACGTTTAAAACCACATGTCTAAGTTGAGCTGATTGTGAACTACAACCCCTAGGTTGCTTCTATGCTACTATGAGTCCCTGCAACTCTTCAGCACAAGTTGATGATAGGTTTGACGTGCCTTGTGGCTATTGTGGCTGGGAAGGCAAATTACTGTCACCCTCTGCAGTGATGCTGCAGTGAGAACCCCCCACTTCCACCCTTGGACCCCTGTATCCTCCTGGTTGTGCCCTGGTCCCCAAACCACCCTGTCCATCTCCGTAGCCACTTAGCTCTGAGGAAGGCAAAGTGAGCTCATGAGAAGGATCTCCCCTGGGGGCCAGAGAGGGTGGTCAAGCCAGGGGTCAGGAGGTCCGGGTTCCGATACCTTTTTCACCATCCCCCACCTCCCCATCATGTCCCCAGTAATGAGATCAGAAGTTGGGCGAGGAGTAGTAACGTCCATCCAGGAGGCTCCCCTAGAAAATCCCTTGGAGGCCGGGCCCTAAAACCAGGGAGGTGCATGCTTCCTGAGGACCACTTTCCTCACTCAGCATCCACACCAATAAATCTGGCTGCTGGCACAGTAGTCCCCATGCTCACGGTTGAGGCATCCCCCTCCTCCAATTGACCAGGGGCCAGAGTCTGGCCACCACCCTGTGGTTAATATTTTGAGCAGAACCTGGACTTAGAGCTGACTTACCCTTTGCTCCCTCTTACTCCAAAGGAAATTGCCTATTGCATCCATCAACTCTCTAATTATCAGATAGGACGACTGAGATCTTGAGGACAATTAGGGGGAGGTCTGTCTTTTCCCAAACTCCCTGGTGTCCCCTCCTCCCCAGACCCACCCCTGTCTGGAGCCTTCCTCTAATTTGGAGCCACTTAGAAAAGACAAGGAAGCCTTTAAAGCTAAGAAGAATGTCTCCCGGGCTGCCTCCTGCCTGTTTTATAGCCGCGGCTGGAAGGACTGGTGATTGAGCTTATTCTGTGGAGGCACGAGAGAGGCACCCCGTTCAAGGGGCCTGTGGCCACAGCATCCTGCTGTAAAAATAGCTGCGGGTTTGAGGGCTGGAGGAGGAGAAAGGGCTGGATTCCTCTGCTCAGTAGGCTGAGAATCACCCTAAACCAAGAGAAGAGGGAACCGCAAGCCAGGTCTGGGAACTCTTTATTGGGTCCTGCGTGGGCCTTCAAGGTCACCTCTGGATGGCTCGGATGCCTCAGAGCAGCCCGGTCCCCTTCGCTCTCCCCTCCCACCTGACCCTGGCCCCTCCCACTATGCGCCAGGACACCTGAGCAGCTGTGTGGGTGCCCCGGGACGTCTCTACTTTCACCTGCTTCTCTCCAAGAGTAATGACAGCTCCTGTTGTGTCCTCTTCATCCTTCAAGACCCAGTTCATCAGATGCCAGCCCACAGCACCCCTGCTGAGTGGGTGGTGGCACTTTTCATCTGCGTCCCCTCACTCTTGGAACTGTACCTGTTTTGTTCACCGCTGTGCCCAGCACTCAATAAATATTTGATGAATGAACGAATAAACTCAGTGTCCATTGTCTGACTGGGTAACTAAAATGGCCCAAGCCCAGAAATTGTCAGGACATGTTCTTAGTCCCCCAGAACACCTGGTAGAGTGCCACAGCAAAGAATCAGTGAGCATTTGCCAGTTTGAGTTGCTCTTGCTTGGGAAGTGGTGAGCTCCCCATCACAGGTGGTATGCAAGAAATGGCCACTTGATGGTGAGGCTGTACAGGACACTCAGCATTTACCAGGGCTGGACTCAGAGGGCTGATGGAGTCCCCTTGTGCTCTGAGAGTCCAGGTGGGCAAAAGCTTCTAGGTGGGGCAATGGTGGTGAGGTCCCAAGGCCAAGGGAAAGGCAGGTGGTCCTTGCTCTGCAGTGGAGGTTGGAGACAGACATTGATTCCAGTCGGAGCAGGGAGGGGAGGGGTCAAGTGACTTGGGCAAAGGTTTGGGGGAAGGAGATTGAAAGAAGCATTTGGAATACAGCGGAGGTCAAGGTGGTGGCTGACCAGGGCGGGGACCAAGGGCTATGAGCCTGGGACGGCAGGGGTCAGCCGGCTGAACATGCAGAGTTAGTGATAAGAGGTTAGAGGTGAGGGATGACAGGTGAAGTCATCTGTTCCAGCTTTTTCTCATGAGGTCAGGGTGACAGCTGTTACCCTGCAGGGGGCGGCCGTGTCCTAAGGCAGTTGGTCTCTTCAAGTTCCCGTCCTGACGTGGTCACCCCTGAGACCTCGGGTTGCCCTCTGTTAAGTGGGTGTTCTTCACAAGGGGCTAAGTCCTCTGACTCAGCGGGGCCAACCTGGAATTCCAGGACTCAGGCTATTTGCTCCTGGAGGCGCCTGGGTGAGAGCACAGACCCCTCAGTGTTCTCTTTGACCCCAACAACTGGCCGTTGCCCTGTGGTCAGCTAAGCCAAACAATGTGACCCACTGATGACAACAGACTCGCCATATCCCCATCAAGCTATTAGAGGGGGCTGTGGTGGCAAATTTCTTCATCCACATGGGGCTCTGCCCTCAAAACCCCGGCCAGTGACTCCAGAGCCCACCTCCTTCCCCGGCACTGGGCTGCCTGATGGCAGCTTCCAGGCAGCCAGGTTGCTGGCACCATTTCCCAGATGGGGAAAACTGAGGGTCTGTGTGTTGCTGAGCCTGAGTCCCACAGCAAGGGCAGAACTCAGGGCTTCCCTTTCTTAGGACCGCTGCATGCTCCCCACACCTCCCCCTGCTCCCCCTACCCCAGGGACAAGGGTTTCCCCGCCGTCTCTTCCCTGGGGGTTCCCATCATCTCCACCAGATTTCTGACTAGTTCTTCCTACTTTTGTAACGCAAATGAGAAGGCCAGGGAAGGAAACCATGGGGAATAATTTGCTAAGCGCTCGTAAGCCCTGCTGTGACTCACTCTGCGTCTCACCATCATCCCCTCTTGCATGTCCCTCCTCTCGGCAGGCTGGGCAGCTCTCTGAGCGTGTAGGACTGTCCTGGGCAGTGATCCCCGGAGGCAGGAGCTCAGGGACATCCAGGCCTTGCATGAGGACGCCTCCGGCCGCAGGAAGCAGGCGTTGTAGCCCCTGATGGCATCATTTCTCCCTGCTCAGCAAGTCCAGAGTCCGGAGGTCCCCAGGGCCAGGCTCATGGACGGGACCAGGAAGGGCTGCTCCGCAGGGCTGGTGCGGACGGCGACCACCTGCTCCTTCGCCCAGGCCCAGAAAAGCGGAGGCACCTGCTATGGGTCAAGGTGGGGCTGGGACTGGAATCCTGGCTCCTGTGCTGAGAGCCAGTTTCCCCTCACTCTGACCTGCTGAACATCTGTGGCCTGTGTGGTTGGTCCCTGCCAAGGGGCAGCATGGTGGAAGTTTCCATCACAGGTGTCAGGGAGGTCAGAGGGGCTGGTCAGAGCCAGCTAGTCTGGGATGACTCAGGGAGGGGAGCACTGGGATGGGCAGAACCTTCTGGAACCCCCAGAAAGGGGATTTCATCCTGGCACCACCACTTATCAGCCTTGGGTGAGTGAATTGCTCTGTGTGCACCCCAGTTTCCTCACCTGGAAAAGGGGGTGAGGATTCAAAGTGAAGATGTCTGCTTTAGCACATAGTCTGACCGTCTGGGTTTTGTAAATGCTAGCTACTCTTAGTATCATTTTCATCATCGTCGCATTCCCTCCCCCGAAACAGGGGATCAGCCGTTCTGGGGCCTGGAGGCCTAAGGCCAGCTCCGGGGACAGTTAAGCTGTCCTGGGCCTGGGGGTGGGTGGGCTCGCGGCCCGAGCCCAGCACTGCCGGCCCTGGCAGCCCGGCAGACGTGGTGGCTCCAGGTGGGGGCTGACTTGGCTGGCTGGCTGGCTGGGGCAGCCGGGCTGCACTGGACACATGGGGGGCCTGCCAGAGGCAGGTGCGGGCTTGGCTTGGCACACGAACTGGAGGATTCTTGGGCTGAGCCAGGCCTGATGGGGATGGGCCATGTCCCGAAATGTGTATGGCTGGAGTGAATGGGGACGTGATTTCTCAATTCGCTCTCATCAGAGTCACTTCCATCTTTCCTGTTTGTCTCATTGCTTTTTCAGCTCCCTGGTTTCTTTTCAATACCTTGGAGGGGCCTGGGGTTGGGGCAGTAATGGTGACAGTAATCCTATTGGGTGAGGGGCCTCTGTGGGAAACCCCCTCCATGGGCTGCGCAGGGAGGAGTCACGTGCTCCCCACTTCTCATCTGCGAGGACTGAGCCTTCTGGAGGGTGGTGTCCCACCCAAGGTCACACAGCTCGAGGCCACGGTGCAGCCCTGAGTCTCCCCAGCTGGTGTGGCTTGTCCTGCTCTGGGAGCTCTCCTGAAATTGCATGGCCCCAGGCCAAGTCTTCCCAGTTGGTTCCAGGCCTCAACTTACTGTGTGTCCTCAGCCAACAGCCTCTTCCTGGACCTTAGTCCTTTGGCTGCAGATTTCCAGTTGGCCCCGCGCTGGTGGAGATCCTGCTGGCTTGGACTGTCTCTGGATCCCTCAACCCCACTAACTCTGTATGATCCCTGACAGGTGCCTGGCAGGGAGGCCCCCATCCTGTCCTTTGTCTCCTTCCAAACTGCTTTCCGGACCTGGAGCACTATTTAAAGAGCTGTCTCCTAGCTCCCCTAGCCCGGCTGCAGCTCGAGGGAGCCCTCCAGACCATGGTAGGCTGGCGTTGCCCCGCCTCCTGACCCTGACCCTGTTCCTCGACTCCGACCTCATCCTGTGACCGTGACTTCATTTGTGATCCTGCCCTTCACCTCACTGCCTGAACTCACCCTGACCTTGACCTTGTTCCTCTCACTGACATCCTTGACCTTGACCTGATCTTGTACCTGGTTCTGACCTTTTCTTCACCCTTGATGTCATCCCTGCACCTGGCCAGGCCATCAGGGAGGTCCTGATTGGGGTCTCTGCTTTTCTGGACTTGGTGGGGGCTGCCGAGGTGGCAGGGAGGGCAGCGAGGAAGAGGAGGTTGGAGGGGAACAGGGTGGGCCAGGCTTGGAGGTTTCACAGCAAAAGTGGGACTCTGCTCCCTGGGAGAACAGGATCCTATGGGGGTTGGGGTCACTACTCTAGGACAGCCTGGGTCCTGTGGAGCTTGGTGTGGGGGCTGCTGGCCTTTCTGCAGAGTCCTTCAGGCCACGTGGGGCCCACCCTGCCGTTTGTCCCTTGCCCCTGGGCTCCAGCCCCTTGGGCTCCCCGCAGGCTCTCAGTGGTGCTGTTTTTTCATGCCTCTGTCTCACACACCCTCATCAGTCCCTCTTGGCCTAAGAATTCTGACTCAGCTGTCAAGCCACAGCTCAGAAGCCACCTCCTCCGGGAAGTCTGCCCTGAGTACTCCAGGGGTACAGCGGCTTCTCTGTGTTCTCAGCACTTGCCCCTCCCTCGCTCCGCCATCCTGATTGTGTCTCCCAGCTGGACTGTGAGCTCCCTGGGGACAAGGATGGGGCCTGATTCAGCTCTGGGTCCCTGAGACTGGGCACAGGGCCTGGCTGGAGGTCAGCAGGTACCTAGTAAATGTTCAGATGCTTTGAGGGAGCCATTATCTGGTTTTTGTACTTGAGGCTCAGGGCAGACAACCGGTTTTCTTAGCATCACAGAGGCTGTGAGTAGCAAAGACAGGATTAGAACTGAGGTCTGGGTGACCCCCTTCTGCCCTGAGATGTTTCCTGTGGGGGATTTTTATTTTTCAAGGGTGCACTATAAAAGGGGATTTCCTAGAGAGCTGGGCTTGGGAAGGTCCCGGCTGGGAGACCCGAAGGCCGATCAGGGCCCGGGGCCCCAGGCTTGCCTGGGCAGCAGGAGAAAACAGCCCATTCCTTCCTTGCGAGGCTGGCACGTAGTAGGGCGGTATTTCCAAAGACGGACATGAAAGGCGGAGGCGAGGCAGGGGTGGGGGGTGTCGAGGCCAAGGGCAGGTCTGAGGAGAGAAAGGGCAGAATATCCCACAGACGGAAGTGATTGCTTTTTATTAATCAGAGGGAAATGTATATGTAATTATGTGAGCTGAATTCCACAGAGAGGTTCTTTTCTTTATGATGTCTGAAGGGATTTATAAATATTACAGGGGTTTTACAGCATCATAACGTCCTGGCCGCCCTGCCAGCCCCCCTTTCAAAGGATTAGTGGAGACAAAGGACCCAGCAAAAGCTAATTATAAGTCAGCCGGGCGCTGTGGCTCCTGAAGTGAGCCCAGGAGCTGAGGGAAGTGGGGACGAGCTGGGGGGTAGGGGCTTGGGGTGGGGGGACAGGAGTGAGCTGGGGGGAGACCACACAGGCACTGGTGTCTTGGTGGGGGCAGGGAAAGCCAGAGCTCTGGGGCGGGGTAGGCGGGGCTGGGCACACAGGGCGGTACTGGCTGAAATGGAGGCAGGAGCTGGGCACGAGGAAGCCCAGGTCTGCGGAGGCGCCCCTTCCACCACCTCCTTTGTGAAATCCTGGCTGTCCTTTCCCCCCGTCACGGCCAGGTATGGGGCTCCTCGCACCTGGAGGCTCTAGTGCTGCTGCTGAAGGAAAAGTCCCACGGGGGAGTTGGAGACAGAGATCTTTCAGCAAATGTCCAGTAGTGGACTCTCAGGCACCGTGATGTCCTGAAAGAAACACATGGAGGCCGGAAGGCTGGCCAGAGACCCTCCACGTGAAGGGTCACCTGCTCTACCTGATGGCCTTGAGCTCTGGGCAGCTCTTTCCAAACTGATCCCCAGGCCCTGGATTGGGGTGGGAGTCCCAGAGATGGGACAGACACAGGGAGATATGGCAAGAAGAGCAGGGCGCCCCATGCTACAAGGTGTGGAAGCCCAAGACTGGTGGGGAGGAGAGGATGGGGCCGGGGAGCTCTGTGTTGATCTCCCGGTCAGTCAGGGAAGGTATCTTAGAGGAGGCGGCAGAGGAGTTGAACCTGAAGGATGAGGATTCTTTCCGACGAAAGACAGGGAAGGCATATCCTGGCAGTGGGAATGGCAGGAGTGAATGCGGGGAGAGAAGGGAGCTCAAAGCAGGTGTAGGGGACCTAGATGGGTGAGGGTGGGAGAGGGACAAAGGACATACCTCTCAGGGCTGAGGGACCCCAGTGTTATCCTGAACACGGGGAGGGGCTGGTGCTAGAAAAGATGCCCCACTCTGCCCTGCAGCCTGGGCACTGCCCACCCGCCTTCAAGTGGGGGCAGGACAGGAAGCAGCAGGGTGGCCCCGCGGGATGGGCGCTCTGCAGGCTTCTTGCCTCAGGCTGGGAGACCCCTTGCTTCTCTGCAAGGCCTCTCGAGGAGCCGAGCCTGTCTGCTGCGGTCCCCGGGGGGCGGGCAGTGTCGTTCAGGAGATGAGGCATGAGGGTTGAGGGGAAGGGGTAGGACAAACGAGGGACTTGAGAGGAAGGGGCTTCTGCAAGACTTCACCTGGACCCTCACAGGCACCCAGAAGAGCCCGGAAAAGAGCAGAAGGTGGAGCCAGCTCCAATGTCTTCTCCATGTTTGATCAGTCCCAGATCCAGGAGTTTAAAGAGGTTGGTCAGCTGCCTCCCAGGGCCTGTGGGAGGGTTACTGTGATGCACAGAAAGCCCTTAGGGAGCTGGCCAGGTGTGGGGTCAGCTCTCAGTCCCTGGGGGGTGGTGATGTCACTATTCTTGGAGGCCTCCAGCTGTATCTCAGACCCTGGAGATGTGATGAGCTGTCCTCGGGCAGCCCCTACCCCTCTCTACCTGAGCCTTTGCTTACTGTGTGACCTCGGGCGAGCCCTTCCTCCCTCTGAGCCTCAGTTTTGCTCTCTGTAAAATGGGGTAGCTGGGAGCATGAAATGAGTGATGAGACAAAGCCCCAGAAGCGTGTTGGCACACACTTGAAATCCAGAGCGAGTTAGCCATCACTCTCATGCTGGTGTCATTCTGAGCTGGGTGACGGATGGCCAGAGGGGCCTGCACTGACGCTGGCTGGGCAGCAGTGAGTGGGAAGGTAGCCCCTTGCAGTGTGTGTAGGGGATGTCTGGGGAGGGGGCCTGGGCTTGGGCAGGTGGGAGGGTGGCTGCTCAGTGCCTGTGTCTCTGCCAGGCCTTCACCATCATGGACCAGAATCGGGATGGCTTCATTGACAAGGAGGACCTGAGGGACACCTTTGCTGCCCTGGGTGAGTGACCAGCAGCCAGAGGCTTGGGGCAGAGTCCGGGTCATCCAGAAAGAGTGGGCGGCTGGGGGCAGGCCAGCGAGGCCGTTGCAGTGGATGTGAGGGGCCGGTGTTCCTTGGGGGTGCAGAGGAGAGGCAGCCACTGCCTGGAAGTTCAGGGGAGGGCTCCTGGGTGTTAGAGGAGGACTCACCAGGGGTTGGAGAGGGCCTGGCAGATGCCAGAATGGCCTGTGAAAAGGCCTGGAGTCGGGGGGGGGGGCAGTGAGGGGTCAGGAGAGCAGGGGTAGGCGCTGGAGGTACGGAAGAGGCTGGAGACACTCCAGGGGCTCAGGGTACCTGCCAGACTTCAGCTGCCTGGGGAGGCTTTTGCATTCTCTAAGGGCCCAAGAATGGGCTTTAAGGATGGATGGGGTGGGGTTTGGGTGGAGTGCAGGGGCATAACCAAGTTATACCTAGACTGAGCTTTGAGCTCCTGGAGATCTGGTTGTCCACTGAGACCATGAGGAATCCCAGAGTCCTCACCTCCAGGCAGCCAGTGAAACCCATCCTAGGGCACCTGAGCCCTGAGGCCCAGGTCATCCAGCCCCTATATGCTTCAGCATCAGCTTCTTTGGGCCTCAGTCTCCTTATCTGTAAAATGGGGATAACCACCAATGTGCTATCCTTTCCAGGGAGGCTGAGGTGGTGGCAGGGGGGTGGTAAGGCTGGGGACAGCTCAGTGATGACTGTGGCTGAATGTGCCCCCATCCTGGGGTCCCCCAGCAGGCAGCAGGGCCTTAGGGCTGAGTGAGGGGTGGTAAGACGGTAGAGCTGGGAGACCCTGTAGGACACTCTGTGGTCCTGAGCTATGTTCTCTCAGGCTGCCAGCAGGCAGGGCCCCTTCTGACCCTCATTGTACTCTTGGGTGTTCCCCCTTGCCCCAGGCCGCATCAATGTGAAGAATGAGGAGCTGGAGGCCATGGTGAAGGAAGCCCCCGGGCCCATCAACTTCACTGTCTTCTTGACCATGTTTGGGGAGAAGCTGAAGGGTGAGTGAGGCCCCAGTGGGTCCTGGGGAGAGGATGAGTTAGTGGGAGTGGCAGGCTGGGTCCTGTGTGCCAGCAGGCTGCCACCAACACACACCCCAGCTGGGAGCATGGTGTAGCCCCAGGTACCAGCCCCTGGGGTGCACACACCAGGCCTTGTCTCAGTTTCCACCTCTGTATCACAGCACGGGGGTTGCTGTAATGACCCCTCCTTGCAAGGCTATGAGGGGCCCAGGAGGACATTTATAAGAAAGCCCTTTGTCCGTTCTCAGGACTGTGTCCCAGCCCCAGCCCCACCTCCCTAGCCCTGGGCTCCTCTTGCTTGCTCTGCCAACAGGAGGAGGTGGTTCTTGGGGGCTGTGGGCTGGGGGGAGTCTGGAAGCCACTGTGGCCAACCCCAGTGCAGGGTGGGCTTCTCCAGCGAAAGGATCAGGGGCCTCATTCATGAGGGAGGAGACCCAGGCTCAGACAGTGTCCCTGCATCAAAATGGCAGGGATGGAACCGTCACCCCAACCCTGGCTGTAAACACTGCACTCCCCTGAGACGCAGCATCAGGCCTGGGCTGGGGTTCCGGGGTCAGAAGGAAGGACCAGCCTGGGCTGTGGTTGCCCTTGGAAGGAGGGTCTTACTGTCACCCTACCCTGGAGCCGCCCCTGCCTGATACCCCGCCTTGGTCTTGGCTTCATCTAGGTTCAAGACCTGGCCTCCCACTGACCCTCAGGTGACCTCGGGCAAGGCTGGTCTGCTCTTTGCACCTCAGTTTTTTATCTGTATGGTGGGGTTTGTGTTAGTTTCCCGAGGCTGCTTGTAACCATGACTGTGAACTTGACGGCTCAAAAACCCAGGAATGTATTCTCTCAGTTCCGGGATCTGTAAGCCTGAAATCCGGCAGGTCGGGCTCCCTGAGAGGCTCCAGGGCAAACCCATCCTCGGCCTTTTCCAGCTTCTGGTGGCTGCATCGCTGCCGTCTCTGCCTCCATGATCACAATGCCCCCTCCTCTTCTGTCTCTCACTGCTTCACTCTCATAAGGGCGTTGTCATTGGATTTAGGGCTCATCTGGGCAATCTAGAATGATCTCTTCATCTTAAGAGCCTTTCCTTACATATGCTAAGTCCCTTTTTCCAAGGAAGTGACGTTTCCTGCTTTCAGGGATGAGGATATGGACGTATCTTTTGGGGACCACCGCTAAACCCACGACAGCCTGGAGCTGCCCAGCTGACGAAGTGCCATTGGGTCCACCTCTGGGCGGAAGCTATTCGGGGTTATTCCTGGGACCATGGTCCCTTCCTTGAATAGCACAGAAGCCTAGGGGGCTGGGCTGGGGGCCCATTTTTGGGGAGAGACATGTGTGACTTTAACGGGAGTCCCAGAGCGCGTGTGGGTCAGCGGATGAGCTCAGAGCTATGACCAGGGCTGCAGCTTTTCCTCATTTTTGCGGGGGCCCTGGGGCTAGGGCTTCAGTGGAGCCTATCATGTGAACTTGGCTGAGCCAGCGGGAGGGACAGGAGCCGGCGGCCGGGCAGGCACCGCCTTGTCCTTCTAACTGGGACTAGGACACTTTGTCATGAGATTCCCAACAGTCACAGGGGGAAGCAGCCACTCTACAGCCATTTGATGGGGTTTGCAGTCTGCAAAGCAGAGGCCCTTTCTGAGAGGAGGGAGGGGGTGACCGGGCTGTGGTGAAAATCTGGCCACGAGACCTGAGCCCTGGGCAGCTGGTCCTTGTGCATCTGGTCCTCAGAAAGGCAGGCTGGAGTCAACCTGTTCCAGCAGGGAGGCCTCTCCAAAGACCCTGGGAAGCTGAGACCACCCCCACTCCAGAAGTCCCCCACCATAATCCCTTAGCCACCCCTTCTCTGCCTGCAAGGCCAGGCTGTGATGGCCTGGAGCTCTGCCCTAGATGGACCCTGTGCTGAGCCTCTGGGCTGGGCACACTGGCTTCCTGCTGCCCTACCTAGAGGAAGCCTATGGCTCTCCCTCCAGGAGCTCCCAGGTTGGCAGGGCCAGCACTGAACCTAGCTCAGTCACTCAGGCCAGCCTCAGAGATGTGGAGTGACTCAGACGCCATCCTGTCCTGGATGAGTCTGATGGGGGAGACACAGCTGGCGCTGACCCAGTCTGAGAGGCAGAACAGACAGGGGGCTCAGAAGATCCAAAGGGCTGGTTTTAAACACTCCCTCCCCTTATTAGTGGGGACTTCAGGCAAGTCACAAAGTGTCTCTGAGCCTCAGTTTCCTCTTTGACAAACTGGGGACGTCAGTACCTACCACATGGGGTGTGCTGGCATTCCACTGGGTAAAATGTTGAAGCTGCAGGAGGGGACATGGCACTCAAGATGTGTCTGCAGCCATGATGGATTAATGTTTGTCAAGATATTTATCATTAACAACATGTGATCTTAACTGATCCCGGGAGGCGGGCAGCAAACCCCATCTTCTGTCTCCATCTCCCCGATGACACAGCTGAGCCTCGAAGAAGGAAGGGGACATCCCCTGGTCCCCAGTGAGCAGGGGATCAGTGTGACTGAGGGGAGAGAGCACCAGTTAAGGGTCACCAGGTCACCCGCTGTTATTCACACAGTCCCGGAGACCTTGGGTGAGACCTTTCCTCTCTCTAGGCCTCAGTTTCCCCATCTGTGCCATCAGGGGGCTGGATATTCAATCCCGTTGCGGTAGTAGAACCATTTCTTCTAATGGCATCTTTCCCCAAAGCCCACACTATAAAAGTGATCAAACTGGAACTGCTCAGTCTCGCCGACTCCTCCAATGTCACTGCCAGAGCGCCCCCTTCAGCCCCCAGGCAAGAGCTCTTTCTCCCCCAACCACAGCCTCTCGCACGCATCTTGGGGAACAAGAGCCCCAGAGTTCACCTCACTCATCACACAGCAGCTACGAGAACTTTGGACAAGTCACTTAGCTTCTCTGAGCCTCAGTTTCTTCATCTGTAAAATCAGACCAATGGTTAGGAGGGTGAAGCATACAGTAAACCCTTAGTCTGGGTCTCCGTGTCCGGCTGTGCAGGCTGTTCGTGACTGTACGCAGCGCCCTGGGCTGTAGCTGCTGTTCTTTGTTTCTCTGAAACCTCCCTTCTCTAGCCTCACCGTGGACTGGAAGGAGGGGAGGAAGCTCCCCGAGCCCTTGGCATCTGCAGGGGCCATGGGGCCGCCCCACCCCCAGCCCGCCTCCTCCCGGCACTGCCCCTAACCATGTGCGCTGCTTCCAGGTACGGACCCAGAGGAGACCATTCTCCACGCCTTCAAGGTGTTCGACACTGAAGGGAAAGGTTTCGTCAAGGCTGATTTGTAAGTTCCCTTCTGCCTTCTGTTTGGGTTTTTCCCTCCCCAAAGGCTCAGTGACTGGTGGTCTTGGGTGGGGTCAGAGTGGCGGCAGTCTCCTCTCCTGCCCAGAACTCAGGCAACTCAGGCAGCTTCCGGCCAGGAGCCGGGAGGCCACCGCCCTGCCCAGCTCAGCCATCACCTGATGTCCCTTCCCTTTCTGGGCCTCAGTGTCCCCATCTGTGTGGAAGAGGACAGAGAATGTGTGGTCACCAGGGAAGGGCCTCCCAGTAGTGAGGGAGGAAGGGGTGGGGGTGGGCCTGGAAGGATGACTAAGGATTGCCCTAGCTGGAGCAGGGAACATTCTAGATGCAGGATCCCAGAGAGAGAAGAGCCAGGACTTGGCATGTTTGGGGTTGGTGAGGGGGAGCGGTCTTTGGCTGGAGGGTGTGGGTGGGGAGTGGAGGAGACTGAGCACAGACAGATAGGCAGGCCCTGGACTCTGAGTCTTCCCTGGGGACATGGGAACGCCTAAGAAGGAGTTGGGCAGGGGCAACAAGGAGGCCAGCCTGGAGGAGGAACAGAGAGAGTTGCAGCCGCCACAGGAGTCTTGGCCATTGGGAGGGAGGGGAGTGGATGGGTAAGTAAACTAAAAGAGGCCAGCGCCAATGGGATTCCCGGTTCTGGGGAGAGGGCTGGGCCAGATGTTAACAAGGGCCTGAGTGGATGTGGGGATGGAGGCGGAGCCATGGGAAGGAAGCAGCTCAGCTAAGGATGCACAGAGAGTGAGGTGGCCGTGGGCAGCTTTCCAGCTGCCACTGGGCTGGCATTATGAACGTGGGAGCACTGATGCCTGCGATGTCTGGGAGCCTCAGCTCGTCAAGAGCCCAGGGCAGAAGCTGCGGGCTGCGGGCACGGGTGGGTGGGGCAGAGGCAGGCTGCCCAGAGGCTGAGACACTAAGCCGACCTCTGAGCGGTCCTCGGGCAGTCCCTTCAGAGCCTCCAAGACCCCGCTCAGCCTGTGGGTGGCCCTGGGCAGACAAGATTTCTTCCTCAGGCACTAGCTTCCTGACCAATTGTTATGATGGCTTGAGGCTAATTTTGCTTTCTATTAGAACCAGCTCATGATGGAGGAGGGGTGGGAGAGGGCAGGTGAGGCAAGGAGAAGTGGGGAGGGTCTGTCTTACCTCTCAGACATTCTTACTGTTCCCCACCCACTAAAGTTTTGAGTCACACTCTCCTCACGGGGAGGGGAAGGGTCCTGAGGGTTTCTCCAGGCTACAGCCCTTTCCTTCACCCGTCTCTTGGAGTCTGGGTTCCCACCTCCAGCTTACGGACCCAGGACGCACTGGGGGGCACCCCCTAGAGTGGCCTGAACCAACCCGTCTACCATCACCCACCTTCACAACCCCCAGAGCAAGGTCAGGGCTGGAAGGAACCCTTTGGGGACCCAGTTTGGGAACCGAAGGCACCATCCCCAGGATATGGGCTCTGGAAGACCTGGCTGTCTGCCAGGCAGGCCACAGAGGAGGCTCTGGTTGAAACAGAGTCTGTGAAAAGTCCCTAGCTTAGAGAGTTGGAAACTGTGACTGTCCTGTAGTAACATAAATAATGGAAAATGTGTGTCGGTCCTGAGCGGGGCCCGCCACTGCCGGCGCCACAGGACACGCGGGTGCTCGGGGCCCGGCTCAGCCCTCTGATCCTCCCCTGCCCGCTGTGCCCCCTGAGAGCCCTGTGGGGCCCTCAGAGCTCCTGGGGGGCACCAGTCCCTCCCACACAGCCTCAAACAGCCCACCTGCGGCCATCCCTCCAGGCGCAGGCAGCTCTGGCCCCCGAGGGCAGCTGCCCTCCTGAACCATGCAGGGGGACATGCCCTACCTGCCGCTGCGATTCATTCCCCTTCCCGAGCCTCGGTTTCCCTTCCTGTAAAAGGGGGAAGTAGTACTCATTTCCCAGGGCTGTGAGGGGCAAAGGAGACCTGTGCAGGCCCAGGAGAACACGGGCCGGGTGGCCTTCCCATCCCTCAGCTAAGTGCGGACACCTTGCATGCTCTGACGCATCTTACAAACATCAGCAAAAACCATAAGTCAGGGAAGCCGTGCATCTAGACCCAGGGTGAAGAGGTGCCCCTCAGTGACCTGGCGGTTGATTATCAGTGCACGATGGGACATCAGAGTGGCTCCCATGGTCATGTCGGAGTCCCAGGGTCATGCCATTTGGTCCCCACTTGATGCAAAGAGGACAGTCCATGTTACAAAGGAGGCTGAGAGCTGAAGGAGGCCGCCATACCCATGAGGCCAGCTGGGGGCTGTAGGGCCAGCCCTGGTTGGTGTCCTCACGGGCCATCACCCCCAGGATCTGCGTGTCCATGCCCAGAGTAGCCCTTCCCTTGAATGTGACCCTTTCTCTCCCTTGAGCAGCATCAAAGAGAAGCTCATGACGCAGGCCGACCGGTTCAGTGAGGAGGAGGTGAGTGTCTTCCCAGGAAGTGCTCTTGCTTTAGTGTCTGCTGAGATGGTGCCCCCCTTGACTCCTTGGATGGGAATGAGGATTCGGGAGATGAGGGACCCCGGCCTGCTGGCCTGGCCTCTGTGCCCTCCACCTCGATGCCTCCGTCTACAAAGAGGGGAACGACATGCCTGCCGCCCTGGGTGACCCCCGGCTCTGGCCCCCACTCCGCCCTGGTCCAGGCTGACTCTGCTCCTTCCCCAGATCAAGCAGATGTTTGCTGCCTTCCCACCAGATGTGTGTGGCAACCTGGACTACAGGAACCTGTGCTACGTCATCACACATGGCGAAGAGAAGGACTAGCAGGTCACAGACCCCCCTGCACACACACACTCAGAGGCAGCAAAACCCAGGGGGCGGGGTAGGGGGCAGCCGGAGGGGAGCCCCTGCGGCCAACATGTGGGAGGAAAAGGCTCCCTCGCCTGGGGGTCAGGGGCAAAGCAAGAATAAATAATGCTAACAAGGTCTGAGTTTCCGTGATTAATGCTCCGGTTGGGGAGAAAGCTAAGCATTCCCATGTTGTTGGTTTTTCCGAAACTTTTTTCTTCCTGGCTTGGCGCAAATGTTCCTGATGAGCTGGTGTTTAGAACTAATTGACAGCTTTAATGATCCCCAGCTGGGGCACAGGACACTGCCTTCATTAGTGAAGATTTTATTGAGCACCTAGTGCGTGCCAGACCTGGTGCCAGTCCCGGGGATGCGGAGATGAGCCAGCCCTGTCCCTGGGCGGGAAGATCAGGCAGTGAGGAGGACAAGAATTGGTCTGGGGACACAGGAGGGAGGAGGTGGGAGCAGTCCCAGAGAGACCTGGCAGCTAAGAGCTGGACAGAGGCAAACGAGATGGAGAGGAGGAGTTGGGTTCTAAGGAGTCGGCAAAGATTTCTTAAACGGGACACACGTAGCACCAAGCATTTAATACAAGTGCAGAGACTGGACTCCAAATTGAAAACTTCCACTCAGCGAAAGACGCCACGAAGCACGTGAGGAGGCAGGGTATGGGCTGGAGGAGACAACTGGCAACGAGAGAGCTTGACAAAGATCTTATATTCTGAATATACTTTAAAAATAAAAACCCTGCACATCAATAATGGGAAGATACAAACCAAAACCAAAACACAAAAGACAGATGGATGACAAGGTCAATGGCAGAGCCGAGAGTGGAGTGCAGGCAGCACGTCTCTGAGCCTGCGCCCACGGCTCTACCCAGGCTGCCCAGGACGTGGGGGCAGGACTGAGTTTGGGGTCACAGCAACAAGGAGGTCCCTTTCCCTGGTCCTCGCCCGCTTCAGCTCCATGTTCCCTCTGGGGGAGGTGGTTGAGAGAGGTGTCCCCATCAGCCTGGAGCTCCCGGCCTCAGGATGCAAGGTGCAAGGTCTGTGAGCAGGGGTCGGGGAGGCCGGAGGCCGAGGAGGAGGAGGAGGAGGAGGGTTCAGATAGAGCCCTCCCTCCGCCCAGGCCTTGCTCCCTCTGCTCTCTAAGAGTCTGGCTTTGCTGGAAATCAAGGACTCAGCCACCAAGGAACTTGTCAGACCTGTTTGTGTCCCAAGAAACCAGGAACAAATCTGTTGGAGGGAGCGGGCGCCATGGATACCTACTGGCCTGCCTGGCAGCTCCAGGCTGTCCTACTCTGTGACACCAGGACACCTGCTGGCCATGCATCGGCCTGGCTCCACAAGGACACAGAGGCCACCAGTGGGGAGGCCAGAGGGCTTCTGTGCGTCTCAGGAAGGGAGACTGGGAGCCATTCTTTGACTTGTTCATTACTCTGCCCTTCAGACAGCCATCCACTCACACACCTCTGTTTTAGGGCCCCGAGATGATCAATAGCACCTCTAACACCCACCGGGGCTCTGGGTGGGGGACCCACAGGCATAGGAGGCTCCAGTGGCAAAGAAGGTAGGAGGGGGATGGGAGGCCAGTTGTGAGGCTGCTGGTGGCTCCAAGGCCCTGGCCTCTGCCTCCTTTGGCGTCTTCATAGCATGGCTTCCTCATCACCCCTCTCCCTCCAGCTGCGGTTCACTGGTTGTCTTGGCTACCCCTGACCTGGGCTCACCACCAGCTGCCTTCAGTCTCCATGACTTTCCATCTAATTCTCTAGGGACACCTGAGTTGGCTCTGCACGATGCCTAGATGGGTTCCTCTGGCTCCTCCTCTGGTCCAGGTGGCTATGGTGGTCTACAGAGCTGCCCCTTCCGGGGGTGGGGGCTGAGGCTCCTGAAAGCCAGAGAGAAGTTGGGAGGAGCACACATCAGCCGTCCTGAGTCATACTTGGAATCACCTTTTTAAAGATACAAAAACTACTTGTGGCCTCCCCCACCTTCCCCTTTACCACCATCCTCTTGGATCTGTGTTCCTGCTGCACAGCTTCATTCAGTTCCTTGAGGGCCCTACATTTCCTTCTGCCACAGGGCCTTTGCATATGCTGCTCCTGCTGCCTGGAACAGTCTCCCACCCACTCTCCCACTCTCCTGTTGGATAAGTGCCTGATCACACGCTACTGAGCTTTCTGCTCTCAGCTCCGCATCACATCCCGTCCCTGATGTCTGGAATAGGTCAAATACCCTTTCATGTATTTTCACGGCACTAAGCACTTTTGCTGGGGAGATATACGTGGTGTTTCTCTTCCCCAGAGAGCTATAAGCCTGGGATCTGGTTGGATTTTGCTCATTACTCTACCCCCGACAACCTACAGGGCCTGGTACAAAGTAGACTCTTGGGAAACTCTGAACCAATTCCAGGGGCCCAGAGAGCTGCCCCGGAGCTGCACGAGGCCCCTGGAAGCAGCTTCCATGGCCAGCACTGAAGCTCTGGGCCTCCAAGAAGATACCGCGGGCCAGAGGCTGAGGCCAGTGCCGCAGCCAGGCCAGAGCCATGACTGAGGCTCCGTGGGACCTGCCCTGTCTGGGCCTTAGTCTCCGCACAAGCAGAATGGGACCCCATGGCTCTCTGAGTCTCAGGAGTCTCGAGCTCTGGGGCAGCAGCAAACCCTGAGGCCACAGCCATGCCCAGGCCTGCCTGGCTGGGCTGCACCAAAGGTGGCCCATCCTGTGAGCTGGCCAGACTGGCTCTCCTGGAATTCTTGGTGGTGGTGGCCCCAACTGGGGTCTGGTAGATGACGGCCAGGAAGCCCAGGCCCAGCCGTGGCAGGCTTCTGTGTCCCCAGGGAGCTGGGCGCAGGGATCCAGCCCGGCCCTGGTCCTGTCGGCTCCCGCAGCCAGCTGGGTCTCATTGAGAGTAATTAGCCCAGTGAGACGCCTGCGTCTTGGCATTTCATTTTCCACTGTGATCCGTCAACCGGGGCCTTCTGACAGTGGCCCCCGTATAAATCACGAGGGGGTCGCTATTAAGAGAAACGGCAAATTCCTTCCACCCGTGCGGCTGGCTAAATTCACTCTAAGAGCAGATTCCCTCCTGGCACTCACTCAAGAATGGCCAAGTCCTTTGAAGGCCTTTCCAGGCTGGACCCGAGGGCATGGAGCCAGCTGGGCGGGGAATCTCAAGAGGAGGCCTCACAGAGCGTGGGAGGGCGGCCCCTCCAGGACCACGTGGCTGCTGGAGACACCCTGCCTGACGTGGCTCCACCATCATACTGTGTCTCTGTGGCAACCCTGGGGGTGACTCTGCACCTTTTCACAGCCAGGAAGTGGCTGGGGGAGTGGGGGGACCAATGGTATCCTCAGCCTGGGACACTGGGCCTTAGAGTGATAATGAAACATCTCAGTGGAATTCTAGGCCTCAGGGGCGGTGAAGGCGTGGGACGAGGCTCCGAGGGGCGCCCCAGCAGCCACAAAGTCTGTTTGGTGGGAAAACTACCCCATTCTTGCTGAGAGCTGAGCCCTGGGCCGGGCCAAGATTTCAGTCCAGCTGAGGGTTGGTTTGGGCCTTCCGGGACCCCCCAAGTGTCTGACTGTGTCTGTCTGTCTCTTCCTGTCCTTCTCATACATCAAGTTCTCAAGTCTCACCTGACAAAGGTAAGGAGAAGTCTTGCAAGGGAGACAGTCAAAGGTCGTGGTAATTTGCATTGGCTCTGGAGCCTACAGGCCTGAGTTTGTACCCGCTCCACCACGTCTAGGCAGGTGGCCCTGGGCAAGCCACTAACCACACTGTGACTCAGTTTCCCTATTTGGAAAATAAAGATAATGATACTGCTACTCTCAGAAGACGGCGCCTTCCTTCCTTTGTGCAGGCCAGGCTTGGAGGAGCCTGTGATGGACAGACAGAAAGCATCTGGAGGCCCCACTGAGCCTGCCTCTGGGGGAAGGCAGATGCCATAACCAATGATGACATCACGATGCAAGAGGGACTCAAGATGGTAGAGCGGCGGGCAGGCCAGGGGCAGGAGGGGAGGGGGCACGCCGCCTGTGTGGGCCACGGTAAAGATTTGTCCCAGGAGCATAGGCGCTTCCACTTCACTGGGAGTGACATGATCACAAAGATAATCTAAGAACCCTGGGTGATAAGGGCAAAGTCAGGAATGGTCCGTGAAACTGAGGAAGCACAGAGGAGATGCTCAATCCAGCCTGGAAGGCTTCCTGGAGGAAGTGATAACCTGAAGAATGGGTGGAGAAATGCAGACACCGAGGGAAAGATGACAGGCCTCTAGATTGGAAGATGGAAAAGGGAGCCTTCTTCTAGAAAAGTCCACTCTCACTTACATGGAGAAGAGGGGCTCGATTTGGTGCTGGTGGGTCTCCGGCCAGCCCGCTGCCTTTCTTAACAATCAGGAAGAAGAGCGCAGGCCGGGAGCCTTCCTTCCGCCACGGCAGCCAGCTGGAACCGAACAGCATGGTTTTGTTTCTCTCCATACATTTTTGTTTTGTTTCTTTCTGTATATTTGTATGGTCATCTTTTGGTTTACATCACCCGGGAGTGAGGTTTTTAGAAAAGCTTTCTTTAAAATAAATGTACATACATGAATTGATTTAAAAAAAACAATTAATATAAACAATAAGGAGGGGCAAAAATCTTGAATGTGAGGTGGGGCTCCCTGAGGTTAGGTAAGAGCTGAAGCCTGTAGGAGAGGCTGGGAGAGGCTATTCTGAGAGAAAATGTCCGAGAACCCCTATGCTGAAAGCACTAGCTTTCAGTCTTGAGTCCAAACCTCCTTGAACAAAAAGGCTTCATCCTGGACTCCAAGCCGGTAGGGTGGGGCCGAGGGACTGTGGCTGTGACAGACAGACAGACAGACAGGCTCCCTGCCACAGGAGTTTTTTGATGACCACGCACAGAAGCTCAGGGTCGAGGTCTTAAAGCCAAACTCACTGAGTGATTCAGGCTCCAGCTCAGTCCCACTGAGGTGACATCCTGGGGCACTTTGCACCTGGCGCTCTCCTAAAGCCAGCCCACCGCCCCCTCTCCTGCCCCTAGGCCCTCGCTTCTCCCCGCTGGTATGATGCAGGCTCTCAAGCTTGCCTGGTGCCCACTTGCTGAGGGTGGAGCCGAGGGGTTGTTAAGGCTT